CTGATCACATCACGGTCCCATTCAGGTAGCTGAGAGATGAATGATGGCGTTCAGCAGGCTCTCTCCTTTGTATTAGGCCCAGGACCCCAATCCATGGGGTGATGGATGCCACCCACAGTGCGAAGGCCTTCCCACCTCAGGTAATCTAGATGATCCCACACACACGTGTGCCCAGAGGCTTGTCTCCTAGGTGACTCTAGAGCTCATCCAGTTGAGGACTAAGACGAACACACCAGGACAGTGTGTGCTAGGCTGAGTCACGGCAGTCCTGCTCGGTTATTGTTTGGTTTTCCTTCAGAGGCAGGGTCTCCTCTGTAGGCCAGGCTGTCCTGTCCCACGGGATGAGGCCAGGACACTCAATTCTCCACCTAGGAGTTGCTTCCTTTCTTTACAGCATGGGGTGGCGTGTCTCCTTGCCGAGTGATGGTCTTATGGCCCCAGATGGATGACAGGCTATGGAACCAAGGTTGGGAATCTCATGGTGGCTGGTTTTGTTTTTTGGGGTTTTGTTTTTCTCACGTGGTATGGAATGGCATCCTGACTGGATGAGTGGAGTCCACTGCCTGGGGGTGAGGTCACTGAACATGGCTGTAGGAATATGGAACACAACGCCGTTCCCAAGAGTAGCATACTCTTTTTTTTTTTTTTTTGGTTTTTCGAGACAGGGTTTCTCTGTGTAGCTTTGCGCCTTTCCTGGGACTCACTTGGTAGCCCAGGCTGGCCTTGAACTCACAGAGATCCGTCTGGCTCTGCCTCCCGAGGAGTAGCATACTCTTATCCCCCAAGCCACTATGGCCATCGTGTGACCATTCCTGTGTATAGTAAGATTCCTGTGTGACAGGACGGAGACGGCTGCCCAGCGGGACGGACACGCAGCCAGCATCCTCCGAGTTAGCCTCTGACTTGGCAGGCAGGCTAGCCTCTGATACTTCGGGGTAAATCTAATACAAGAGAGAGGATGAGATGGAGGGGCTGGGTGGCCATCTTTCACGGCTGGAGGGCCGGAAGGAAAAGTGTATCGGTGAGATGGGTGCTTTGCGGCTGGCGGACGTTGGAACCCACAGAAAGGAACAAGAATGGGGAAGAGGACAGAGGGAGTGACGGGAGGGATTCAACACACAAGGATGGACAGACAGTACGAGGAGACAGTGACAGGCAGGGTGCACTCGGCACCCAAACTGCTCAAACTGGCAAAGACTTTTAAACAAGCAATGAAAGAGCTTGTCACAGCCTGGCTCGCGAGACTGTGAGACGCGGGGGTGTATGGGCTCAGTCTGGCTGCTACGGAGGCAGGAAAAGAACTGAGCAATGGAGCTACCCATCCCTCCTCAAGACAAAGGCTGCATAAGCTGAGACGGCCTGAGGGAAAGCGGGTCCCTGATGGGCTGGCTTCTAGGGACCTTAGGGACAGAAGAATGATTGGCACCGACTGGAGAACTCAGCATGGAAAGAGCAACATCTGATGCTCAGTTCACCGGGCCAGACAGAACTATGTTCATAGGAGACGTAAGATGATCCTGCCAGGTCTGAAGGAAACTCCGCTTGCCCAAATTCTGGTGGTTAGGCAAAAGCCAGCATTCCTCAGGAACTTGGGAAGCCGGTCCCCCTCTACCAAAAGAAGCCATTTTCCTTATCACTGGCAAAAGGGACAAATGGCGATCTGTGGTGCCTATTAGCATACCAAAGCACATGCTAGCCTCCAGGATCCCTCAGTATCACAAGTGCCTGTTACACGTTTCAGAGTCCACGCTAGCATCCCGGCTCTTCTCCAGATCTTCTCACCCCCTACCCTACCCTAAACTCCCTCAGCTCATGAGCTCGCTTCCCTCAGCTACTCATTTTTCTTATAGCCCTATCTTGATGATGCTCCCTCTCTTTTGCCTGAACTCTGTCTTCCTCTCTTGCCCCCCACCCCCATCTCTTTGCTTTGCTCCGACCTGCTTCTCTAATGGCGAGGTCCAGTCAGCTGGCTATGTTCAGTCTACTGCTTTCTCTCTTTGCTCTGGACTCTTCCAGATGCCTCTGGCTGCTCGCTCGATCTCTCTTTCATCTCTACAATAAAAACCTTCCTCTTAACCATACCATGGGGTGGTCATATCATCAAGTCCTTTATACAGATCCGGGACCGCCGACATGGTTCCCTGAGTAAAGATGTCTGTGCATAAACCGGAGGGCCTGAGCTCAATGCCTGTGTACCACAGTGGAAGGAGAAAACCAACACCCACAAGTCATTCTCTACCCTCCACATGTTGTGCACACGCATGACTAATAATAAATAGCAAGAGGTTGATTCCACAGGGGCCTTGGGACGGTACAGGTCTTAAGGGCCTTTCTGAGGCCCATGGTGTGTGTGATCTTCAAGGTATGAGAAGCTCTAGAAAATCTGAATGACTTTGACCAGCATGTGAAGTGGGCCCAAAGAGTGGTAACATGAGACTGATCTGCTCAGCTGCCTATGGGTTATTCAGGTAGCTCCAAAGACTCCACTTTCATGAACAGGCAGTCACCAGCCAGAGCAGCCTTTTCAATGGCTTTTGAGTCACCCATACTCTCTTGTAATTAACAACCCCCCAAAATTCACTTGGCAGTGCCCTGTTTGGGGTGAGTAGACATTTGCTCCTGTCTCCCCAGGAAAAGTTAAATGTCATCCCTCTTCTACAACAGCAAGTTCAAAACCAACTTTGGCTATATGAAACCAAAAAAAAAAAAAAAAAATGGAAAATTAGTTTTTTTTTTCCCAAAACCATTAAATAAATGTTGAACTAGTAATTAAGATAAATCTAGGCTTGACAGTGTGCCAAATTGTAGGTTTAGAGTCCCTTAGCTGAGGTCTTCAGGGACAGATGCACTTCAGAACTCAAGGCTGATCCAATTTTAGAAAGGCCATTCTGCACCTATTATGCAAACCCCAGGGGCCTGAGGCAGGCACTGCCCACTTTCCCCAGCAGACATGGTAATATCCTTCTGCAGCAAAATGTGTGAACACACCGGAAGGGATAAATAAAGAATATATAAATAGCTTGGTACGAGTTAATTTGTCGCCATGTGAGAGTGAGGTGAAAACTATCCCACCCCCCCCACCCCAAAAAAATGTTTAAAGTCATGAGAGCTAGTCAGCATACAAAATCCACAAGCTGGGCATAGTGGCACACACCTCTAATCCCAGCACTTAGAAGACAGAGGACTAAGGTCTGCTGCAGGGACAGTCGGAGCTGTAGCAGTGAGACCTTGCCTCAAATCCGACGGTTGGCAGGGCCTAGCTCAGCGGCAGCGCACTGCAGAGAAAGGAAGCCAGGAGCCCCAAAAGACAATACAGAGACGCTCCAGAGACGGAGAGGGGAGAGCGGGGAGAAGACAGTGTAAGGAGACAAGAAGAGAGGCTGAGGACCGTGGAGCGGGAAGAAAAAGAAACTGGAAAGCAGAAAGGGAGGCCAGAGGGGACAGAAGAGAGGGCCCCCCAACTCTCGCTGGTGTGTGGCACTTTGGGCGGACGGTGGAGACAGGGAGCAAGCCAACTCTGTTCTCGGGTTTGGATCGCTAGTTTAATTTCTCGGAGCGACGTTGTGCTATCTTCATTTCACAAAACCGGAGAGGTTAAGTACATTGCTGTGCATGTGGGGAATGCTGGTGAGCAGAAGGGAACCCAGAGGACAGATGACATACTCCCATCGGACGCGAGGCTCGGTTCCTGGATGCTGTCCAGCTCAAGGGGAGGGCAGGTCATACAGGAAAACCCCTTCTTGAAGCAGGAGATCTCCAGACCTGCCTAGGGCCAGGCCGCAGTCACAGGTACGGGAAAATGGGCTCAGTCGCCTGACTTCTTTATCAGAAGCTATACCGACTTCTCAGCCACGGCACCAGCAGCAGTGCAGACCAGAGGCTGTACCCACCTTTTTTTGGTTCAGTTATATACTCCACACTTCCCAAAGCAGCAAATGTGTCCTGTCACCACCCAAACCCCAGGTTCATCTCTCTGACCCCAGGAAAAAAGCCACAGCATCACCGGCCAGGGCACAAGAGCACAGCCTCTGTCCCTGACACAGTAAACTATACTAACAACAGTTCCCAGTGCGCACGATTGTCTCCGACGCTATACGAGGACCCGTGACACCCCAAAAACTGGTAAGGCCTTCACAGTATCTGACCTTCAATGGCCCCGAAACTGGCAAGCCGCTCTTCCCCATTCCAACCCCAAATTTACATGAGAGCAATGGTAGAGAAAAGCCTCTAAGGCGCGAGGGGCCAGCACGCGCTGCAGACGACCACAGACCAGGGAGGCGCAGCTGAGGCTGGAGTTTATTGCGGATGAACGCTGAGTCCCGAGGAGGAGCGGGGTGGGATGAAGTCAGGCAGGATCAGGACCGCGGCCAGGGGAGAGGAGGCGCCGCGCAGGCGAGGCCCAGTGGTGCAGATGGGACTGGCGCAGGCCACGGTGGGAGTGGGCCAGCCTATCCAGGCGCTCGGCTCGCGGTCTCGGACGTCGCTCCCGGCGCTGGGCGGCGGCTGTGGCGGCGGCTCCGCGGCAGTCCAGGCTGCGGTCTCGGCCCGCCCGAGGCTCCAAGCAAGCAGGAGGCGGCAGGAGGTGGGGCGGGTGGCGCTGCACGGGCACAAGGAGGGGCAGGCGCGCTGGGCAGGGGGTCGGCGGGGCCCGCGGGCGGCCGCGTGGGTACCCAGATAAGCCCGTAGTACACGGCGAGCAGCACGGCGGCCAAGGACACACACAGGAAGTAAGCGCAGACCGGGGCAAGGCGCAGCCATCGGCCGCGGGGACCCTCGCTCAGCCCCGCACCGCCTGGGCTCTCGCCACCGCCGCCCACACAGCTCGAGCCCCGCATCGCGCTGCCCACTCCACCCGCGCTGGTCCCGCCCCCACCCCGGGACCGCCCCCACGGAGGTCCCAGCCCCGCCCTAGACCGCCTCACGCAAACCACACCCCTTACAGGACCACGCCCCCTCCAAGAACTCCCCCCCCTCTGCCCTAAATCACTGCCCCGCCCCTCAATCCCTCGCCAAGCCTGGCCACACCCTCACCTCCTAGACACGCCCCTACAGCCTCTGGCCCAACCACTATCCAGAAAAATGCATTAGCCACGCCCCTTCGCAGCCACACCCGCCTGTTCCCCTAGCCCCTAACTGGGACTCCCGTTCTCTGCTCTGGGCCCCTCCTAGCTTGTCGGACCCCTCCCTTCTTCCACCGACTGCAGCCCCGCACACAAGCCACCCTCTGCTCGCCGCCGGAGGTCAGGCTCCCAGTCGGTTGGAGCGGACGCCCCACAGAGCCTCTGAGCGCTAGCCCCGCCCACCGAACCTCGGCCCCGCCCCTCCCGGCTTCTTATCTCCGGCTGCTGCACGGTTTGGAGGACTCAGCTCCGCCCCTCGCCCCAGCTGGCCCCTTCCCCCGTAACTCCGCACCAGCGTAACTTCTCCCGCTCCCTAGAGGCGCAGGGTCCAGAGTGGGCTGCAGGGAGGAGGACAGCCAGCCCGGGAGCCAGGCAAACCTGCGCTGCCGCCCCTCCCAGCAGCGTCTTCAGGATTGCAGGATAGCCTGCGGGGTGGGAGGGGAGAGGTGTCAGGATGGTGAACAACACCCTCGTCCCACCTCTTCCGCCACAGCAAAGCCCGCCAAGCACCGCAACCCAGCCTGTCCCGCTAGCAGCACAGTTCAAAGGTTGGCGGGGGCACGCATTTAATTCATGTCCTCCAGAGAGCCCCAGGCCCTAGCTGCAGGATCCTGCACACCCGGGCCTCACAGAGGCTGACTCGGAGGTCTCCACCAGCGGGGTATGGTACAGCCCCATCCAGGTTGCCAAGACCGGTCCTCAGCGAATTTAGAAGAATCCCCGGTCCGGCCCCGTTGCTAACCTGGCTCCTCCCCCCTACGTTTAACCCCGTCCTGGCTGGAGTGTAGCAGAAGCAGAGGAGCAAGGCGGCTGGAGGTTAGTGCAAGAGCGCTAAGGCCCCGGTCCGCTGGCGCTGTCAGCGGGCAGCCCCAGGCGGTGGAGCGGCCGCCACCACCTTGCAGAAACGCACCCTCTGGAAGTCTGTGATCTCCGCTGTCTCCTGGCCCTCCGGGCCCACCTCTGAGGAGATAAAAAGTGGTAAATGGATAGCCAGTCTGCCCGACCCGCCCTGCCCCGCACCTCAGTCAAACCCATCTGCAACGTGGTCTCCAGTTTACTCAACCCTCAGGAGGCCCATGAAGCAGAGCCTCTCCAATCTGACTCCGTCGACTACTGGGAAGCGCTAATGTAATGATATAACCACCGTCCTCCCAGGACCTCAAAGTTTTGTATGGCCCGGCCACTCATCTGACTGTCGCTCCTGGGCTCTGCTCCACATCCTGTCCCAATACAGGGGAAAGGAAAGAGGAACACAGGCAAGAAACCTGACCCACAGGCAAGAAACCTGACCCACCGCAAAATAATCAGCCTCTTGCTTCTACTCTGTGGGGTCCAAAATTCCCACTCACGTCTGCCCCAAAACGCTAACCTTGCTCTCAGATAAGCCTAACAGTCGAGTCCATTCATTCATTCGTTCCTACCTTTAACTAACCACGTTTTGCTTTTACAGGGTCCCTAACCAGTATTAGTCTCAAACTCAAGGTTCTACCAATTCAGCCTCTTCCCCGTGGGGACGTTCAGATTTCAAATCCCGTCTTTAGCTCCTTCCAGTTAGCTTCAGCCCTTACCTTAATGAGCTATCCCTGAGCCCAGCTTCCTGGCCAGCCCTACTCACAATTCCTATTGCCTGGAGCCGTACAGCCCACCCTCTGCACCAACCAAGACCTGACTCCAGGCCCACCCAGGCATGGCACAGAACCTGACTCACCTCATGCCCTGTCCCCCTACCATCCCACAGGCCCCACCCATTTTTTTGTCCCCAAGCCCTTCCTTCCCCCTAGGAATGCAAGCAGACCACCCACCTCCACCAGCCTCATGCACCCCACCTGGAGATGCCTCAGGCCCCTCTTCTTCAGACTTCGGGGCTCCTGCCAAGGTTGGCCCACTCTCCAAGGAGGCAAGGGCTGGCTGGTCACCTCCTGGAGAAGGGGAGGCTCAGTCAAGCCCCTCCTTTTCCCAACACCTCCCCATGCAAGGGGAGCAAGGGGGGCTCAAGGACACAGTGGGGTGTGTCATTTAAGGCAGTGAACTTTTATTGGAGAGAGGCTCTGAACCAGCAAGAGCAGGCTCCAGGAATGGGCTGAGGGCATGGAGCAGGCACCCACTGCCCTTCCCTGCTGCAAGGGTTGAGGGAGGTGTGAGCACAGCCACACCCTTGTGAGCTCACAGGAGCATGAGCACACGTGCACACACACACATACACACACACAGAGGCAGCCAGTTTCATGCATTCCCAAAAGGCCAGGCCTCACCCGCAGAGTGGGCACCGGGTGAGTGGGAAGTGCCGGGAGAATTCAGTTCCATCTCCTCACCCCAGTCAGACACAGGCTGGTGGTCCCCAGAGGGCGAGAAGGGGCTGGGAGGTTCAACAGGGACTGGGGACAGCGACTCCTGGGGCCTGGCAGGTGCAGGGTCCTCCGCCTGCTCACAGGTGGGCTTCCCAGCAGGCTCGGCCTCTCCAGGCTCTCCAAGAACAGCTGGGGCTTCCTGCTCCTTAGGACCCTCTTCCTCCTCCTCAAACTCCTCTTCCTCTTCTTCCTCCTCCTCCTCCTCAGTGATGTCTTCACTCACGTCCTCCCATTCTTCATCCTCCTCCTCCTCATCTTCTCTCTCCTCTTCTCCCTCCTCCTCCTCCTCCCCCTCGTCTTCCTCACCATCCTCCTCAGGAGGCCGGTGGGCTGGCACCGGGGTCTCTGGAGGCTGCTAGGAACACAGGCAGATCAGAGAAAGACTTGGGGCCTGAAGTCCCCCGACACCCCCTGCTTCACACTGCTCTGCCTTACCTGTGTAGGTGTCTCCGCCAGGGACACGGACTGAGAAGACTCAGGGGCTGAGGACACAGCTTCCTCTTTTGTCTCCCAGCGGTTATCATGGCCACTGGAGTGGACAGAGACAGGGTAAGGTCTGGGTGAGCATGGACTTCTCAGAGAGCATCTGACCTGCTGCACTGAAGGCAAAGGGAACAGCAGACGCGGACAGAGCCAAGACAGACCAGTGCACCCTCAGACTCAAGCCAGAGAGACGGACTCCACACACCCAAACACAATGAGAAAGGGAATGTCCCAAGGGAGGGGCACCCCACCTATAGGCACGAGGGGCCACCTTGGCCTGGGGTCGACTGTTCTTTCTCCTCCTGCGGCTCTTGACTTCTGCTTTGTGCTGAGAAAGGAACTCTCCAAAAGTGGGGGGCTTAGGGGGTCTTGCCCAAGCTTGGTCATCTACAACAGAAACCCAGATCCAAGGACTTAGGGGATGGGGACACAGCACACGCCACACTGAAGCCCACTGCTTAACCCTTTCCAAGGTACTACTCACCATAGCGGTGGGAGGGTTCATGGGTAGGAGCTGGCCCATCCTTGAACCTAGGAAAAGAGAGCAGAACAAGCAATAGCTGAGGAACTAGGGAGAGACAAGAGAAAGCAGGGGAGGTGGAGGCAGACAGAATGAGGGATGAGAGGCAAACCTAGCTTCCTAGTGACAAAACCAGGCAGAGATACAATTGCGACCTCGAATAAAAATGTGGGGCTGGAGAGATGGGTCACTTCCCCCTGACCTCTGCACCTTGTGTATCCAGTCGCCCAAGTTACTCAAGTCCCTTGGGGTTGCTGCCCTGAGCCTGTACCCCAGAAGGAACACTCAGGGGATGTTCAAAACAGAGCAAGGACATAACTGTGGGCCAGGTATGGTGCCGCATATGAGGGACCCGAGCATTTCAGAGCTGGAGGCAGAAGAATCGGGTTCAGGCTGGCCTTGACTCCATAGCAAATTCAAGGTCAGCCTTGGCTACGTGAGGCCTTGTCTCAAAGATTCAAAAAGTAAACAAGAAAGAGTAAACAAGTGATCTGTCAGCACCAACAACTCCAGTCTATGGGCAGGCAGAAGGTTCTGAGTGAGTCTAAGACAGCCAGGCACTGGGGATCAGCAACGGTGGGTTTCCCTACCCTGAACCTCGGCTAGCTGTGCGTTCTCGGACATCGGCCAAGCTCACATGCAGGGAGACACAGAGCCTGAGTGGCCTGGAGTTCTTTGCCAGCCGCGGTCAACAAAGGCCAGCAGGCCTGTGAGCAAGTGACAAAGGAAGCTTTTCATACACGAGCTGGGCATCTGTGAGGCCAAGGCTGGAGCTGCACAGCCAGGCCCACATGGTAAAACTGACTCCCATGAGCTGTCTTCTGTGGCCTCTCTCAATAAAGATGTGTAAGGAGCTGTAGTGACGGCTCACAGGACCTGGGTTCAATTCCAGCACCCACATGACAGCTCACAACTGTCTGTGACTTCAGGATCCAACAGGCAGGAAGACTGAAAGATCAAAGCCAACCTAGGAAACCTACTGTCTCAGAAGCAAAAAGGTGAAAGGACAGAAGAGATTAGCTCTGGCTGCTCTTCCAGAGGACCCAGGTTCAGTTCCCAGTGCCGACATGGTAGCTCACAACCCTCTGTAACTCCAGTTTCAGGGGATCTGACACCTTCTCCTAGCATCCATGGGCACCAGGCATGCACAAACATACATGCAGACAGAACACTCAGTACATTTTTGTAAAAACTTTAAAGGTGGGGAGTGGGAGCTGTAGAGATGGCTCCGTGGCAGAGCAGCTGTCTAGATTCCACCAGTGAAGGGCTGGGGTGTCTCTACAGTACAGTACCTGTCTAGATTCCACCAGTGAAGGGCTGGGGGTGTCTCTACGGTACAGTACCTGTCTAGATTCCACCAGTGAAGGGCTGGGGGTGTCTCTACGGTACAGTACCTGTCTAGATTCCACCAGTGAAGGGCTGGGGGTGTCTCTACGGTACAGTACCTGTCTAGATTCCACCAGTGAAGGGCTGGGGGTGTCTCTACGGTACAGTACCTGTCTAGATTCCACCAGTGAAGGGCTGGGGTGTCTCTACGGTACAGGACCTGTCTAGATTCCACCAGTGAAGGGCTGGGGTGTCTCTACAGTACAGTACCTGTCTAGATTCCACCAGTGAAGGGCTGGGGGTGTCTCTACAGTACAGTACCTGTCTAGATTCCACCAGTGAAGGGCTGGGGGTGTCTCTATGGTACAGGACCTGTCTAGATTCCACCAGTGAAGGGCTGGGGTGTCTCTACGGTACAGGACCTGTCTAGATTCCACCAGTGAAGAGCTGGGGTGTCTCTACGGTACAGGACCTGTCTAGATTCCACCAGTGAAGGGCTGGGGGTGTCTCTACAGTACAGTACCTGTCTAGATTCCACCAGTGAAGGGCTGGGGGTGTCTCTACAGTACAGTACCTGTCTAGATTCCACCAGTGAAGGGCTGGGGGTGTCTCTATGGTATAGGACCTGTCTAGATTCCACCAGTGAAGGGCTGGGGTGTCTCTACAGTACAGTACCTGTCTAGATTCCACCAGTGAAGGGCTGGGGGTGTCTCTACAGTACAGTACCTGTCTAGATTCCACCAGTGAAGGGCTGGGGGTGTCTCTACGGTACAGTACCTGTCTAGATTCCACCAGTGAAGGGCTGGGGTGTCTCTACAGTACAGGACCTGTCTAGATTCCACCAGTGAAGGGCTGGGGGTGTCTCTACAGTACAGTACCTGTCTAGATTCCACCAGTGAAGGGCTGGGGGTGTCTCTACGGTACAGGACCTGTCTAGATTCCACCAGTGAAGGGCTAGGGGTGTCTCTACGGTACAGTACCTGTCTAGATTCCACCAGTGAAGGGCTGGGGGTGTCTCTATGGTACAGCACCTGTCTAGAATCCACCAGTGAAGGGCTGGGGGTGTCTCTACGGTACAGGACCTGTCTAGATTCCACCAGAGAAGGGCTGGGGGTGTCTCTACGGTACAGTACCTGTCTAGATTCCACCAGTGAAGGGCTGGGGGTGTCTCTATGGTACAGTACCTGTCTAGATTCCACCAGAGAAGGGCTGGGGTGTCTCTACAGTACAGGACCTGTCTAGATTCCACCAGTGAAGGGCTGGGGGTGTCTCTACGGTACAGGACCTGTCTAGATTCCACCAGTGAGGGCCTGGGGGCTAGCTCAGCAGTGCACACTAGTCGGCATGCCAGAGGCCATAGGTTCACTCCCCAGTACCAAGGGAGAAAGAAAGACAGGCTTCCCCACACTACTGAGACACGGCATGCTGCGGCCACCAGCACCAATGCCCACAATGACCCCGCAGGAAGACGACTCACATGCCGTCGGTCTTCTCGGCATCCCACTCCCGCCGCCACTGCCCAGTGGGCTTGCGGTGCCGCTGCAGACGCTCTTGGTCAATCTTCTCCCTCTCCTGCTTCCAGCGCAGGTACTCCGACCTCTCTCGGCCCGTCATGGACATTGTCATGTCGCCCCCACTGCCCGGGCCAGCCCTGCGGCCCTGCAGGCACCACAGGCAGTCAGACTCCAGCTCCCCTCCGCACCCCTCCCCCGGACACAAACAGGACACACAGGGCGGAGCTGACAAGCAGTAAGCAAACGGGTGGCTGAGGCGGCCCCTCAGAAAGGCCCTATGTCCTATCTATTTATTTTCGGTGTCAGACAGGGTCTCATAGCCCAGGACGGCTGCCTCAAACTCATTATTGGCCTTAAACCCCTTGTGCTAGCTAGGGTTTTTTGGTGGTGATGGTTTTCTTTTTTTTGTTTGTTTGTTTTTTGAGACAGGGCTTCTCTGTGTAGCTTTGGAGCCTATCCTGGAACTCGATTTGTAGACCAGTCACAGAGATCCACCTGCCTTTGCCTCTGACTGCCGGGATCAAAAGCTCCTGCTGGCTAGTTTTACGTCAACTTGACACAAACTAGAGTTGTGTGGGAAGACGGACCCCCAGGTAAGAAAATGCCCACACCAGATTGGCCTGCCTCCACCTCCCAGTGCTGGGTCTCATCTTTCTAGAATTAAACAGTCCATTTTTAAATGTGTGTGTGTGTGTGTGTGTGTGTGTGTGTGTGTGTGTGTGTGTGTGGTGTTTGCACATCTGTGGACATGTACACGTAGAGGCCAGAGGAGTGTCTTGCTCTGTCACTCACACACACACACACACACACACACACACACCCAGCTTATTCCCCTGAAGCAGGGTCTCTCTGACTGAAGGGCATCTGACCTAGGCTAGCTAGCAGCCAGCAAGGCCCAATGATCTTCCTGTCTCCGTCCCTAGGCATGCATGGAGTCACACCCAGCCTTTTTCACAGGAGTGCTGGGGGTTCAAATCCAGGTCCTAGTGCTTACACAATAAGCACTCTTACCCACTGACCCATCTCCCCATCTCTCCTCTTTTTAGACTTTTTCTGGTATATGCCAAAGTATGTGAATATATGCCAAGTGTGTGCAGGTACCCACAGAGGCCAGAAGAGCTGGAGTTACAGGCACTCATTACTTGCCCAATGTGGGTGCTGGGAACTGAACTTGAGTACTCCAGAAAAGCATTCAGCACTCTTTTTTGTTTAGTTTTGTTTTGTTTTTTGAGGCAGGGTTTCTCTGTATAGCCCTGACTGTCCTGGAACTCAGTCTGTAGACCAGGCTGGCCTTGAACTCACAGAGATCTGCCTGCCTCTGGCTCCCGAGTGCTGGGAATAAAGGCATGGGCCACCACCACCCAGCATCACTCAAGCACTCTTAATCACTGAACCATCTCTCCAGACCTCTCCTCATCTTTCTTAAGAAACATCTCCCCCTCCACCCTCTACTCTTTGGGGTCATGATATTTTAGAATACCCAGCCTTTAATTAGACTTTTACCCATTTGGTTCTGGGTTTTGTCTTAGAACTATTTTCCCTGGCCAGTAATCCCAGCACTTGAGAGGCTGAAGCAGGAGATCAAGCGTTCAAGACTGCCTGGGCAACTTAATACAGCTAAAAGGACTGGGGATGTAGCTCACTGGTAGACAGTTTATACAGCATGTGTAAGACCCTGGGTGGTGTTCCATGGCAAAAAAATAAAAAGCCTAACAGAGTCCTTAACAAAGAAAACCCTGGCAGGAAGGCAGGGAGCGGTGCAGCTTTAGCCCAGCACTCGGGGTAGAAGCAGGCAGATCTCTGTCCTGGGCTTAAAGCTGGAACTCCACGTAAACTGGGCTGGTCTGGAGTTCCAGGTCACCAGAGCTAAACAGTGAGACCCCGTCTCAAAAAACAGAAAACACTGGCCAAGCATGGTCACCCAACTGCTTGAACTACATAGTGAGATCCAAACCAGCCCGAGTCCTTAGCTCAAAAGCCCCCAAATCAAGCAAGCGCTAACCCCCACAGAAAGCAGCACCTGCTCTGTCCACCCCCAGCCAGTCCAGAGCACAGCTCCGGGGAAGCTGCAGCACCCACCTGTCTCTCGTGCTCCAAGCCGGAGCGCACCCGCTCGAAGTCAGAACCTCCCCAGTTCCGGCCATGCCGGCGGCTGCCCTCCCGGCGATCCCTCTCAGGCTCCTCCAGGGGTCCACCCCGACGTCGGGGATCATCCAGGAAGTTGCGTACTGGGTTGGGCTCCAGTACCCCTTCCTGCAGCAGAAGAGGCAGCAGGTGGGCAGGCTGGGAAACACAGGGGGGCCTTTCCACTCAGTCCACCCCAGGCTGCCCGGTGCTCACCCGCTGGTTGCGCTCATACTCCGCTATCTTCTCCATCTCCTCATTCATCTTCTCGATGTTCTGCCTGCGCCGCTCCTCCCACTCCTGGGGAGACAAGATGGCACCACGACTGTCAGGAAGAACCGCACAACTAACTGTGCAGAAAAAACAGGGCAGTCCTAATTCTCCAAGGACAGGCAGGCAACAAGGGGTGCCTGGCCTGGAACTTGTCTGGATGCAGGGGACCCTGGCATTCCTCAGCCACCATAACCACCATGGTGCATGGAGATAGTAACATGGCAAGCAACTAGTGACTACCCTCCCATCTGCATCACTAACGGAGTTTACAAAGAGCAGCCAACTGGACGGGACTCTCATTTCCCAGACCCCACTGTTGGTGGGTGTGGCCACGTGCTTCTCTACAGAAGTGTAAGAAATTGTGTTTTCTCTGTCAGTGTCCCAGTGTCTACCTCGTGGACAACAATCCTAGGGGTGAGCGGGCCGTGGCTTCCTGATCCACATTACTTAGCTCAGCACACAAGAGAAACAAATCCAGATTCTACTGAGGTTATTCATTGCATGTGGGGTCCAGGTGTGCGCATGTGCATGCACGTGAGTGTTCATGTGTGGAGGCCAGAAGGATCACTGTTTCTCCCTTTGGAGACAGGGTCTCCGGCTGGCCTGGAACTCACTAGCAGAGATCTGCTTGCCTTCCTCTGCTGGAAGTGTGCACCATGGCACCAGGCCCATCACCCTTTAAACAGGGCCTCCCACTGGCATGGCTCACCACGTAGGCTAGGATGGCAGACCACAGAGCCCAGGGTCCACTCGTCTCCACTCCAGCTTCTAGGGTACAGATGACAAGGCTGCACCACCACACTCTAGCCCTCACCGCACTTAGCAAACCCTAACAGTCCAGTTCCGGCATTTGCTAAGTGCCTGCTCTGAGGCCACAGCGCCTGACAGCAGAATGCTTACGACGCCCTTTGGTCTAATCAGCACTCCCTGTAAGAGCAAGAATCTTAACTCCCAGGGAGAAAGCCACCTCACCAAACGGCAGAGATTCACAGAACCAGCTAGGACCCAAGTACATCCCAGGCTGTGAGCCATGGCCCAGGCAGTTGCCTGCTGGGGAATGGAGCAGTCACAGTAAGGCCCACTACCCCCCACATGAATCTGAGCGCACACACAGAGTGAGCCCCACGCACAAGTCTGAAGGTTAGTCAGGAAACAGAGGCAGGAGCAGTAAGTCAGAATCAGAACCTGAGGCAGATGCAGAGCGCTGGTCAGGGGGAAAGAAGAGAAGCCCTCAGAGGGCCGCCAGCGGGCGGTGGGGACAAGGGACACAAGGGCCGAGGATCAGGGGGGAGTCCACCCAAGCGAGAATGGAGAAAAGCAAAGAGAAAGAGATGAGCTAGCAGGACACAGCAGTGCAGGCCTGTTTTCCCAGCACCCAGGAGGAGGCTGAGCAGGAGGACGCCAAGTCCAAGGCCGGCCTGAGCAACCGAGTGAGATGAGATGCTGTCTCAGAGTAAAAGCTAAGGGCTGCGGATGTAGCACTCATCTAATATGCACAGGGCCCAAGATGAGAAAAATGAATGAATGGATGAACACCAGGGAACAGAAGCTTGGCCCAAGCTTCATGGTCTGCTTGGTCTACCTTGGACTTGCGATCGGAGGCTGAGTTGTCTCCTGCCCCTAAGAGATGAGGGGATCCCCGGCCCCGGCCTCTCCGGCCCCGGCCCCCAGTTCCTCCTCGAAGCTGCTCTCCGGCACCATCCTCCCAGCCTCGGGATGCCCGGCCTACTCCTGCCCGGCTTCCCTGCTGGGGGTGGGTCCGGCCCCCTCTGCTGGTCCCTGGGGGCCGGGGGGTCCCAGGAGTCCTCCGAGAGGGACCCAGGCTCTTCTCCTGGAAGAGGGAAGGAGAAGTCAGTCAAAGGAAAGGTAGACTGGGGCATGCTAGACCCAGAGGCGGCTGGCAGTTCTGGGTCCCAGGCCTCAGCCCTCTCCCTCCTCCCCATCCTGAGCATTCAGACATGCTGGACTCTCCACCTCCACTGCCATATTCTCCTTCTCCATGGAACGGCTCTTCCGAGGGGCTGTCACTGCCACACCCTCCAATTCAGCTTTTTTCCGGTCCTCCTCGATCTCCTAGGAGCAAATATCCAGGGGAATGGGGTGTGAGGGTTCCTGTACATGAGCTGGCCTCCCATAGTCCTCTACATTCTCCCTGCATTCCCTACTCAGACTTCTCTCCAGAGCTTTAGACATTGGTCACAGCATCTTCCATCAAACCCTGCATGTTGCTCAGCTGTTCCAAGGCCCCACTGGAAGCCCATCTGTAAGAGCAAATGCTTCCCCATCGTGAGGACCCCTCTCCTGCACACACACACTGGCCTTCTTGCTATTTCCCAGGGCTCAGATGTGCCCTGGGCTTGGACCCCAGGGTTTTTGTACCAGCTGCTCCTCTGCTAGAGTGAGTTCCTTGACCCTCTAACTCCTCAGGTTTCAAACGTCTCCCCACCTATCTGCCACTCTCGTTGTTCTCACCCCTGCTTGATAAAACATGGGGATACCTGCTGGACTGTTCGCTGATACACCCTCCTCCCAGCCTACAGTGCTGCCTGGCATACAATCAAACCCAATGTTGATTTTTTTAATGAACGAATGCATGAAGAATGAGTCAATGAGGACCACCCTCCTCCCAGGTCCCTTCATAAAGACAGCCCCACAACCTCCTCTTGGGCCCTGCCCTGGACCCTCCCTCCACCTCCCACTCTGGCCCCAACTACCCCGGTCACTGACTCTTTCAACAGCCTAGCCCTGAGCCAGACCTGTCCTCTCCAACAAAGGCCCCTGCCCCAGATCTCTCCTTACTATCTGGACTCCCTCTCATCCATCAGCACACAGAAAAAGGAGTGTCCCTGTGAAGAGGTATCTGACCAGGTCTCACTCCCATTCAAAGCCCTCCATGGCTCCCTAGTGCCCTTAAGCATTCTCCAACCTACGTGGCTGGCCCCTGATGACCTCCCTAGATCAATTCTCCAAAAACTGACTTTCCAAGCCCTCTCTGCATCCAAACATTTGCCCAAATTGTTCGTCTTGTATGAAATGTAACCCATCTCCTTCCCAATTAGCTAATATCTAGGCACCCTTCAGTTCTCAGAATCCCCTCTACCAGAGAGCCCTCCCTAATGTCCTCAGCCTAGAGGAAGAACTCTAGACTCCCACAGACCTGTTAATTCCCCCATCCCAGCCTTGTCTAGTCTGGGTCATTACAGAGGGCAACTATGTCCCAAACTGGACTGCGAAGCCTAAGAACAGGTCCAGAGACTACATCCCCAGCACCACACAACATGGAGCTAAGAATCTGGAGACTTTAGCGAGAGACTATGAATAAATGATGAATGAATGATGCGATGGAAGAAGGAAAGGCAGACTAAGGCCTTTGGTTTTCGTCCTGTGAGTGAAGGGGAAACATGAGAAAGCTTGAAGGGAGAGGTGGGAAAAACTCACTGCGGGGAGAGGGGATGGGGTCTCCCAGGGCAGGGCTAGGGCACCTGGTAGCGCCGGATGAGGGCCTCATTCTTCCGACGCAGAGCCTCGATCCTCTTGTCCAACTCAGCATCTTTCTCCTCCTTTGATTTCAAATCTAGTGTGGTAGCCTGTGGTGGGGAGGTGGTTGAGGGAGGGGCATTTCCCCAGGATCTGAGCATTTGGTCTCTGGATCCCACCTTCCCAACCCACTTCTCCACTTTGCAGCTCACCATCTCATGGGCTGTGATCTCCTCACAGAAAATAAATGTAGCACTGGGGGCTCCTGGGGGCAGAGAGAACAGTAGGTTAAGACCAACAGCATTCTGAAATGCTGCCTCCTCTCCTTTACTGAGGGCTCCGAAAACACAGACTCACAGAAACATACAGCTGTACTTCATCGAGGGAATTCTCAAGTACTAGCCTCGCCTCTTTCCTAAAGAAATACGAAACCTGCCCTACAGTTTTACAGCCACCCATGCAATTAGTCAGACCCACCTCGGGAAAACTCTGGCCCCACCCCTGTACCTAATACTAGTTCCTCCAAACACAGATGTCAGCCCAGGCTCCACATCCTATAATTTTAGCCAGGACCAGGATCTCAGAAGGTCAGTTACAACCAGCAAAAGTAACTTCTAGAGGGCCAGAGGGATGGCTCCGGGGATAAAAGTGCTTGCCGCCACGCCTGAGAACCTGAGGTCAATCTCCAGGACCCACAAAGTGGAAGGAGAGAACTGACTCCTACCAGTTGTCCTCTGACCTCCGTGTGATCACACATACATGCACAAAATAAATAAAACAATGAAAAACAGTTCCAACTCTCCTTGAGAACTTTAATCCACGGCTCCCCTAAGACTGACTCAGCCCAGCCCCCAGCATCCTGAAAATGCACTCATCATCTCCTACCAAGCCGGAAAAGATTCTGCAAGCAGGCCCAGGATCGACTTCAGGGGGCTTCCTGGACAGGACTTGACCTCCATAGTGATACTCAGCCCAGAAGACAGAATTTCTACAGAGGCTTTCGAGAGAAAACTGCCAGCCACAGCCGCGCCCCTGACCTCCACAAACCTCCCTGGTCCCACCCCTGACCCGGATTAAACTTCAGGCCTCCCCTTTCCCATCAGATTTCTGGCCCCACCCATAAAAAAAAATCAATTAATATGGCTCCGCCTCCAATTTAACCCTATGGCCACGCCCCCAATGTGCCAGGAAACATTCTGGCTACGCCTCTGAGTCCCGCCTCCTCCTCTAGCTTCCGATGCGTTTATGTCGAAGGAAAACTTTCTGGCTCCACCCCGACCATTCTCCCCCTAGCACTCTAACCCCACCTGCAAAACTCCTGACATTTTGTCCCCGTCTCTATCAAGTGTCAGACAGCCTCTGCACCCGGCCCTAGCTTCTGGGTAAGGATCAGGACCCACTTCAAAAAGTAAGAAACTCTCCTGGCTTGCCCAGGGCATCTCCGCCCCAAACCCTGGCTCCACCCCCTTAAAAAACTCTAGTCACTCCCTAACACAATCAACGCCAAAACCACGCCCCCTAGTGAAAGCAACACTCTGCTCCCTTCCCCCCCCACCAGCATCTTGGCCTAACCCAGCACAAAACCCCAGCTCAGTCACCTCCTCTTCACCCAAGCAACGCCCAAACCCTACCCCTTTCCCCACACTACTCAAAACTTTGGCTCCGCCAAAAGCAGGTCCACCCCGTCTCCGCCCCGCCCCCTAGCCCTCATGGACACGCCCCCGTGGCTCTCTTCCCTGCCAAAACCCTGATCCTTAAGGCAACCCTTGCAACACCCTGGCTCTGCCCCCCCCCCCCGCCGCCCCGCCCACCTCCCTTTATCCCGCCCCGCTCCATCTTGGCCCTGCCCCCAGTTTCCCCGCCCACCGCCCAAACCCCACCCCTTAGGCTCCCCCCTCCCCGCAATGCTCTAGCCCCGCCCCCAGCCTTTCCTGCACCGCCCCGACCCCGCCCCTTCTCCCCGCCCCACGGCACTTGGCCCCGCCCCCCAGCGCCCCCTCCCAACGTCCCGGGCCTGCCCACTAGTGCTCCAGCCAAGACTCTGGCCCCGCCCCAGCCCGGACCCAACTTTGAAGCCCCGCCCCGCGCTGGCAGCCACCAGGGCTCAGGGACCCGCCCGCACCCGCCCGCCCGTCCGGCCCTGCCCACATGCTCGCTCACGGCCCACCCCACAGCGCCCCTCCGGCGACCCATGTGGGCGTCGTGTCCCCGCCCCCCGCAGAGTCCCCCCCCTGACCCCGCCCCCCGCCGGCGGCTCGCCTCCCGTCCGCGCGCGCTCCCGCTCCCCTCACGTGGGCGCACAGGCCCCGCCCTCTCCGGGCGCGCTCCCGACCCCCTCCCCCCCCCGGTCACCTGTCCCGGAGACCCCGCGGCGTCTGCGACTCCGACTCCGTCCGCCTCCGCGTCCGCAGCTCCCGGGCCTCACACGTCACTTCTGGTCCGCTCCACGTGAAAAGAGGAAATAAAGAGGGCCACTTCCGGTCCCGACAGCCCATTTCCGGGTGCCTTAAAGGGGCCGCACCCCCCTCAGGCGCTGCAGAATGTAGCGGCAATGCGCTGCTTCTGCGTCGTCCCGGGAGACGTGCCTGTGCTCCTCAATCTCTGTACTCCATTTTTGCTCAGACTTTTTAGCTACTGGTTCTCTAATTTAGTAAGTAAAAGCCAGTGACCCCTGGAAACGTAACTGGTTTCATCCCCTCGTCTTGCCAATGAAACCTTAGTTTTAGAAGCTTGAACCAATTCAAAAAAATACATTGAAAATTTTTAGGAAACAACTCTATAACCAAAGCTGAGCGTGGTGGCACATGCTTCTAATTTCAGCACTTGGGAGACTGAGGCAGGAGGATTGCCTCAAGGTCAAGAACAGCATGCGATATATCAATATAGATATATACAGTTCCAGGCCAGCCAGCACTATGTAGACCTTGGCTTTAAAAAAAGAAAAAAAAAAAAAAAGCTCCTTGCCACCAATCCTGATAACCTCAGTTTGACCCCTGGACTCTCAGGTGCACAAGCTCCTTTACCTGTTAAGCAACTTGCTGGCACTTAAATTATTATTATTATTATTATTATTATTATTATTATTATTATTATTACTTTTTTTTTTTAATAAAGATCTCAGTTGAGAGCCGGGCAGTGGTGGCGCACGCCTTTAATCCCAGCACTCGGGAGGCAGAGCCAGGTGCATCTCTCTGAGTTCGAGGCCAGCCTGGTCTACAGAGCGAGATCCAGGACAGGCACCAAAACTACACAGAGAAACCCTGTCTCGATAAAACGGAAAGAAAAAAAAAAAAATCTCAGTTGAGATTGGCCCTAAACTGATTCTCCTGCCTCCTCTTCAGTACTGAGGTAGGACTACAGACCTGCAGTGGATATGACCACCAAATTGGCCATCTTAAACTGCTGTGAGGTATTCCATCTGATAGATGGGTACAATTTGTCCAACCCCCGTCTCATGGACGTTAGGATTACTTCAGTTTCAGTTAGCAGGAATTGCCAACAGAACTTCACTGAACTTCTACAGGGACAGCCGTGTGTGTGTGTGTGTGTGTGTGTGTGTGTGTGTGTGTGTGTGTGTGTGTGTGTGTGTTACAGAAGAAGCAGGCTTGGGGTTTGGGGATTTAGCTCAGTGGTCTGATCCTCAGCTCAAAAAAAAAAAAAAAGAAGCAGGCTTGTGCCCAGGTTCTGTCACTTAGCTACAACCTCAGCCCAATTTTGTTGTTGTTTGCTTTAAATTGAAAAAATATGCTGACCCAGGCAGTGGTAGCACACACCTTTAACCCAGCACTCAGAGAGACCTATATATGAATCTGTGAGTTCAAGGCCATCCTGATCTGCATAGTGAGTTCCAGGACAGCCAGAGCTACATAGTGACACTGTCCCTCAAAAAAAAAAAAATTAAAATATATATTATTTTATGGGGTTTTTTTTGCCTGCATGTATTCCTTGCATCACGTGAGTGCCTGGAGCCCTCAGAGACCAAAGGGCAGATGGTCCCCAAGAACTAGAGTTACATGCATTTGTGAGCCACTATGTAGGTGCTGGGAGCTGAACCCAGTTTCTGCAAAAGTATTAAGCATTCTTAACCACTAAGCCAAAATGCACCTTTTTTTTTTTTCTTAAGTTTTTGGAGACAGGCTCCTCTTGTGTATCTAAGCTGTCCTCAAACTCCAGGTGATTCTCCTGCCTCTGTCTCCTGAATGCTAGGACCCCCAGCTTTTTTCATAGTTTGAATCTGGGGAAGGGAAGGGAGCATGCATGCCGTGACACATATGTGGAGACCAGAGAACAATCTCTCTCCTACCGCATGGGGTCTAGGGATTAAACACAGGTATATAGAGGCTTGGCAGAAGGCTCCCGTACTCACCAAGTCACTTTACCTGCTTGTTGGGGGTGGTATAAAACATTTTAATTATTTTTGAGATCTAGTCTCACAGTGTAGCACTGGCTGGTCTGGAACTCTCTATGGTAAGCCAGGGTGTCCTCAGACCCATAGAGATCCACCTGCCTCTGCCTTCTGAGTGCTGGTATTATTGGTAGGGGTCACCATGCCCAGCCTAAGGATGTGGTTTTAATTTTGGTTGACACATAATTGTGCACAGTTGTGGCATATTATAATATTTTGATACTAATGACCAATGTGTAGTGATCAGATCAGAGTAACTGACATAGCCTTCTTTTGAGGAAGGGTTTCTCTGTGCAGCCTTGGCTGTCCTAGAACTCGCTTTGTAGACCAGGCTAGCCTGAAACTCAGAGATCCACCCTCCTCTGCCTCCCGAGTGCTGGGATTAAAGGTGTGCGGCCCACACCACCAGGCATACAGTGTTCTGTCTGCATATATGCCTACATGCCAGAAGAGGGCGCCAGATCTCATTATAGATGGTTGTGAACCACCATGTGGTTGCTGGGAATTGAACTCGAGACCTCTGGTAGAACAACCAGTGCTCTTAACCTCTGAGCCATCTCTCCAGCCCGACATAGCCTTCTTTTCAGGAAGGGTTTCGCTGGGCAGCCTTGGCTGTCCTAGAACGTGCTCTGTAGACCAGGCTAGCCTGAAACTCAGAGATCCGCCTGCCTCTGCCTCTGCCTCCCGAGTGAGTGCTGGGATTAAAGGCATGGGCCACTGCCACTGGGCTCATTTTCTATGTGTCAGGGACATTCACATTTTGTCTATTAACTACCTGAAATATGCAGTGTTTTTATTAGACACACGTTTTTGCAGTAAATGATCTGTAAGTCTGCTCCAAAGAACACATAGGCAAGGTATAGTGGCAAACACCTACAATCTCAACACGAAACAGGAGCAGGCAGAACTCTGTGAGTTCAAGGCCAGCCAAGGATACTTAGTGAGACCCTGTCTCAATAAATCAACAGATAAAGAAACAAATCGAAGGCAAAGCAAACTACAAATTCTCAGTGGGTGAGCAGCATTGTTATTACTTCCAAGCACACAAATGTCTGGATCATTTACTTGACAGTAAAATGACCCAAGGCAGATCCAGGCAGATTACCTGGAGCCAGGAATTTACAGCAATTTAACAAGGGAAAGGAAAAAGGTAAATATAAACGAATCACAAAGTGGGGCCGGAGAGATGGCTCAGTGGTTAAGAGCACTGGCTGCTCTTCCAGAAGTCCGGAGTTCAAGTCCCAGCAATCACATAGTGGCTCACAATATAATGGGATCTGATGCTCTCTTTTGTCATGCAGGCACACTTTCAAATAGAGCACCCATATAAATCAATCAATCAATCAATCTTTAAAAAAAAGAAAAAAGAAAGAAAGAAGAAGAGCCGGGCGGTGGTGGTCCACACCTTTAATCCCAGCACTTCTGAGGCAGAGGCAAGAGAATCTCTGTGAGTTCGAGGCCAGCCTGGTCTACAAAGAGAGTTCCAGGACAGACAGACAGACAGAGAAACCCTGTCTGGAAAATCAAAAACAAATAAACAAAAACGTCACAAAGCAGAGCAGGGCAAGGTAGTACTGGGATCCCAGACACTGAGGAGGCTGAGGCAGGAGGATTGAACCTTCAAGGCCAGCCTGGGCTACATTCTGAGACTCTGAGTTCCAAGACAGCCAGGGCTACATAGAGAAACCATGTCTCAAAAAAAAGCCCAAAACTAAACAAATTTTTTTTAAAAAGTAAAAAGAGGACTGAGAGTGTATGCCCTACGTTCACTCCTCAATACTGCAGACACACATACTCTCTCACACACACAATGTTCAAGAATAATCGCAGAGAACTCTTCTTTGCGGCAGAGTTATTTGCAGAGCTGCCAACAGGTTGACGCGATGTGGCGGGAACTTTGAGAGCCTTTGCGAGTGTGATGTTCCTCACTCACCACCAGGGGGCAGTGCCTGCAGTTAGAAACCAGACTCTCCTTCAACAAATCATTCTAAATCATTCTGGAAGCCTGGCACATGGTCCCAGCTCAGAGACCGGATGATCTGAGCTTCAAGACCGGCTTTGGCTACATACCGAGTTCAAGGCTAGCCTGAGCTACATGAGACCCTGTCTCAAACACTAAAATTAAAAATAGAGGTCTGGCTCTTGCCTCTTCTTTCCTCTCTTGCCTCTTGCTTTTCTCTTGCCTCTCTTTCCCCGTCTGTCTGTCTGTCTGTCTGTCTGCCTGCCTGCCTCTTTCACGTTCCTACTCCAACTATGGCCTTTGGCTCTTCATTTTCTCCCCTCTCCCCCCCCTCCTCCCCTTGCACTAACTCTAAAAATAAAATAAAATAGGGGTCTGGCTGGGTGCTGGTGGCACACACCTTTAATCCCAGGACTCGGGAGGCAGAGGCAGGTGGATCTCTGTAAGATCAAGGCCAGCCTGGTCTATGGAGTGAGTTCCAGGACAGCCAGGGCTGTTACACAGAGAAACTCTGTCCCAAAAATAAACAAACAAATAGATAGATAGATAAATAAATAAATAGATATTTTTTTAAAAAAATGAAGGGGCCTGGGAGACGACTCAGTCAGTAAAGTTCAGATCCGCCGGGACCCCGGTAAAAGCCGAACACTACGTCACATGTCTGTCATCCCCAAACTAGGAAGGTAAAGACGGGCAGGTCCCTGGAGCTCACTAGCCAAGTTGGTGAGCTCCAGATTCATGTGATGAAAACATCAGGCGGAGAGCCAGCGAAGTGGTCCCATGACTAAAAAGGGCTTGTCACCAAGACTGACGACCTAAGCTGGAACCCTGGAACCCACAGGGTAGGAAGAGGAAAACCCACTTCTAGAAGTCGTTCTTGACCTACACACACACACACACACACACACACACACACACACACACACCCCGCACGCACGAGCGCGCACGGCTTGGCATTCACAAGCTTAATTGTGTGAACACGCATAAATGTAAGGATAAATAAGGCGGAAAACAATCGAGGTAGGAGGACGGCGAATTCAAGGCCTGCCTGGGCTACAGGGCGAGTTCACGGCAGCTCCCAGCACCCACAATGAGCAGCTCACCAGGGTCTGTAACTCCAGCTCCAGGGGACACAACGCCCTCTCCTGGTCCTATGCACAGAGACACACATACATACACACACTCAACTTTTTTTTTAGATTTTTAAAAAGCATTTTATTATTTTAAGTCTGTGGTTTGCCTGCCGGTATGTCTCGTGTGCAGTACCTGCAGAGGCCAGAAGAGGGCGTCAGAACCCCAGGACTGGATTGATAAATGAACCCCCTTGTGGGTCCTAGGAAGCCAACCCCGAAAGATCAGCCCGTGCTCTTACCCACTGAGCCATCTCTCCAGCCTCCACACACACACATTTTTTTTTTAATTTTTAATGGGCTGGGGATGTAATTAAGTGTATGAAGACTTATCCAGGACGTGTGAAGTCCTAAATACACACACACACACACACACACACACACACACACA